TCTGGTGAAAATGCTGACAAGATGGTCCCTTATGAAAACACCGGGAATGCTAAAGAATCTGGAAGCCGGGGCCTCAAAGGGGTATGGTTTCAACCTCGTTTCCATCAAATTGACCAAAATCATAGTTGGTGATCACTGCTCCTTCTAAATTTGGTTGTTTAGATTTATTCACAATAGGCCTAGTGTTTGATCAAGTACTGCCAACAATGACTCTGGCTGCATAGGCTTTAGTCAAGTTCTATTAAAGTTGCCCACTGTTATTCAACCTTTGTTACTAGGAGTACTGCCATGATAGTTTTTTGGCCTCTCTTTATTTTCCTGCGAGGTAATTAATTAAGAGAATGGATGTTGGAGGAACATGTTCTTAGCATACTATGAGGATATTAGACATATGGAGGTGAATTACTGCCATGCAATGATCTCCATCCTATTACAAGTTTTTTAATGTCTAATTAAGCATACTTTAGATATCAAAAAATTGGTAAAAAAATCACTAACCCTCTTTTGGGCAAAACAAGCAATCTCATTTCCACGGAATCATATATAACTTAATCAAAGCTTGTTTATTATAAAAAAGTACCATTAATATACCGATGCAAGTTTCAAAAAAATAAATTGTAAGTAGTTGATTTTGATTAATACCTATTTTGTAATATTGTACAGAGAATAATAAGAATAACTAGAATAAGTGAAGTATTAATTTACGTAAAACAACTAGAATAAGTAGAGCATTACTTCATACGAGTAGCAATGAAACTCGAAATAAGTGACAGGGTTGATGAGTTACTTTCATCTTGGATGTTTCAGATAATTTGGCTTAGCAACTCAAATATAAAGGTTGTTAACTTCTTAAAGTATGAGTGTTTCTCCCTTTTATTTTGTTCTCGTGTACTTGTTTACTTACATCTTTTTTTTTATACCTGTTTACATATACCTTTTCCTTTTAACTTGTTTTCATATAACTTTTTATTTATACCTCTTCTTTATACCTTCTACCCGAGAATAAGTCTTATTACTTCAATTAGTTCAATGGTCACTTACATTATATGCCATAAACTTACCATCTTAATCTCTATATAATGCGTGACAATAACAATTACTAACATTAAATTTCTTTATAATAATATCATTCATTAGACGCATTAAAACCTATTCTTGAGTAACTGTAACTTTTGGCACTATATATAAAGCTTTACAATTCATTTACAAGGACTTCTCTTCCTTCCAGAGCTAACACATTCTCCTTTAGAACTTCTCTCTCTAGTTCTCTTCTACTCCCTAATTCTCGTGTTATTATTTTCCACTTGCCACT